ATTGTTATAACATTTATGAAGTAATATGAACTAAAGTAGAAAATAAGGAAATGAAATAGAATGGATAAATATAATTGTATGCAAGAAAAGAGGGTTGAATTTGGAAACCGGGGGGGGGGGGGATGGAGGGAAGTCTGAGGGGTTTGTATAATCCCAGTAATGTATTGAAAAATGTTTGGAGTGTATGGAAATAATGTTATCTTAAAAAACTGAAAATAAAAAATATATTTTTAAAAAGAAAATGATAGAACCAGAGCTCATATTTTGTTGGCTCTGGAGGAACCACAGGTCTTACATATTGCAGATCTGGACTCTGCCAAATAATATTGGGATCGTCTCCTCCAGATACATCTGTCTGACACTGCTTTTTCCATAATTGGATTAACTAGGATACTTTACAGGACTGTGTTACCTGAAGGTGGGTGTTTGAATACACACCTCCAGACTCTGTGCATGCTATTCCTCCAGTTACAAAGGAGAGGTAAGAGATTTCCAGATCTGGATCAAGTTTATATTTTACTATTGAGTTTCCCACCAAGTTATAATATTGTAATAGCCTCTCTTGAGAGCATGAGGCAGGAGGATTTATCAATAGACTATGTAATAGCACACTTACAGGAAGAATATGAAAAATGTTTAGAGAAGCAAAGTGAAAATTTAGACTGAATAAATTTCATTCGCCCTGGCAACCAGAGACCCAGATTCTTGGGAGGAAATGGGGCCAATGAACACTTTACAGATCATGTCATGCCAACGCAGGAAGGGCTAATAAAGCCCTTACAAGATTTTTTCACGGGAAAGGGGGTAAATACGTTCCGGCGGCCTCCCAGGTTTTTGCTGCAAAAATACTCCCACAACTTACTTATGGATCCCAGGTTTGCAGTTTTAAAAATTTTGCGCCTATGGAGGCATTTCAAACAAAATTCTATCGGTGTTTATTGGGGATCCCCCCCTGTGTATCTAATATAGTTGTCCAGCTAGAAGTTGGACAACCACCCGTTAATGCGCGGCTGTGGATTCTAAAGATACACTACTGGTTAAAACTTATTTTTCCCCGGCCGGTTTGGCTCCTTTAACACTCTTAGACACCTTTCATTCCACCTGGAAAGCTTCCCTGTTTGAAAAGATAAGAAGCTTGGGATTCTCCCCGCAGATCTTGATAGCGGCAGGATATGAGAGAGCCAGAAGTCAAGTGCTCCAACGCATTAGGGACATAGAGCTGCAATGTCATATGGGCAAAATGGATAAACATGCCATAATTAGAGACTTTGGGAGAGGGTTCTCACCCGCAAATTATTTGGCTGATTTACAAATACCTAAGTACAGACACTCCTTTACCCTGGCCAGATTTAACGTTCTGCCCTCTGCCCTGCTGCTAGGCAGATATGAGGGCAAACCATATGAGTCACGTGTTTGCCCGTGTGGCTCATCGGAAGTGGAAACAAGTCTGCATGTATTGCTGCACTGTAGTTACTATGAGGATCTACGCTTGACCTTTATTGCCCCAGTTCTACAAAAGCTTAAAAATGAACCAGAACTCCAACGTATGAGAGCCTTGGTAGAAGATAAGGTTTCTGAAATTACGATCAATGTGGCCAAATTTTGTGTAGCCGCTATTAGGCGCAGGAAACAAGAGCTTCCAATGTCATTACGCAGGCGAAGGCAAATACTTAATTTTTATTTATGCTGTCTAATTTTAAATTGCAGTTATGTATTGAAATTGTCCTTTGTTTTTTCCGGTGTTATGCTTCGCTGACTAGCTGTACGAGTTAATCTGGTCTGTGACCGTTTAATAAATTTGATTTGATTTGATTTGATCATGTCATGAGGGCGAGGAAATGTTATCGCTGTGGCAATCTGGGACACATGAAGAAAGATTGCTGTGTGAAACTCCCAGGGGGAGCGAATAACCCTAATGTAATGGCTTGGCTGTCCCACAGAAGCGAGACACCGGCAGTAATTATCTCAGGTTTATTGCTCAAACACATAAATCACTCCGGAGCTCCTTCACTCCGTGTCTGACTCCAAGTTTGCAGTTGCCGAGTCTAAACTCCGACCCTTCCTCTTCTTCCAACAGAGGAGAAAACCCTTTCGCTTCCACTCTTTTCCCCTCCTCTCACTGACCTTTTCGCGCCTTCGAGTTTTTGGGCTGGCTATTCCCGGCCTCTCCCCTTCTATCTCTGAGCTATCTTCAGCTTGCTCTCTGAAATTTTCTGAAGCTATGCCACTCGGCTTTCCCTCCTCCCTCTCACATTCCATTTCACATTCCAGTGTCCTTATCTCCCTTGGCTTGCTTAGATTTCCAGCCTCTGTCAGCTTCGGAATGAAGCTGACACCTAATGAAGCAGAACACAGTGTCCACAGATCATCAAAGGGACAGAAGTATGCAAGAGAAAAGGGGACCCAATTTGTTTCGGCCATCGCTAGAGAGGAGAAGAAACTTCTACCAGACAGCTATATTTTGGACTCTGGCTCTGCCAGAATAATAATGAACACACCTGGCTGTTTTACAATTCACTAAATTGCCGCCAGGCAAGGACAGTATTTGTCTTGCAGATAGGCGACATTGTCCAATTTCTGGAGTAGGTACGTGTTTTCTACCATGTCTAAATACGGAGCAGAAAGATGTGTTGTATTTTAAGCAACTGGAATGTTCTCTGTTATCAGTTTCATGCCTTACAAAAGTTGGGTTTGAAGTCACTTTTGCTGATAAAGAGTGTGTTGTTAAGAAACAGGGCAAGGCAACTGCTTCTACAAAGGTGGTGAATGGCTTGTATTTATTACAGCCTTTACAGCCCAGTAGCCAGGTTGTAAAGAGACCCAATTCTAGGCAGGATAAGGTGTTGACAACTGACATGCGTAAACAAAACATGAATTGCCCGCATAAAAACTGTATCCATGTTTTACATAGAAAAATGGGGCATACAAGTTTCCAATACCTGGAGAAAATGCAGAAAATATGTGAAGGTTTAACTGTTAAACAATGCAACAGGTATCTTGATTGTGCTGTTTGTAAACAAGCAAAATCCAAGTTGCAACCAATTTCTGGAAGAAGTGATAGAATTTCTGCACATGCTTTGCAACTTGTTCATTCAGATTTAATTTGCCCTTTTCCAGAAAGTGAAGGAGGATCTAAATTTGGCCTAATTATTGTAGATGATAAAATGAGATATTCGTGGTTATATTTTTGAAAAATAAGTCAGAGTGTGCTGAAGCTTTTAAGTCCTGGAAGGTGTGGGCAGAGAAATGATTCCAAAGGCCAGTAATTCAGCTCCAGTCAGACAGAGGAGGGGAATATTTAGAATCATAGAATCATAGAGTTGGAAGAGACCACAAGGGCCGAGTCCAACCCCCTGCCAAGCAGGAAACACCATCAGAGCACTCCTGACATATGGTTGTCAAGCCTCTGCTTAAAGACCTCCAAAGAAGGAGACTCCACCACACTCCTTGGCAGCAAATTCCACTGTCAAACAGCTCTTACTGTCAGGAAGTTCTTCCTAATGTTTAGGTGGAATCTTCTTTCTTGTAGTTTGGATCCATTGCTCCGTGTCCGCTTCTCTGGAGCAGCAGAAAACAACCTTTCTCCCTCCTCTATGTGACATCCTTTTATATATTTGAACATGGCTATCATATCACCCCTTAACCTCCTCTTCTCCAGGCTAAACATGCCCAGCTCTCTTAGCCGTTCCTCATAAGGCATCGTTTCCAGGCCTTTGACCATTTTGGTTGCCCTCCTCTGGACACGTTCCAGTTTGTCAATGTCCTTCTTGAACTGTGGTGCCCAGAACTGGACACAGTACTCCAGGTGAGGTCTGACCAGAGCAGAATACAGTGGCACTATTACTTCCCTTGATCTAGATGCTATACTCCTATTGATGTAGCCCAGAATTGCATTGGCTTTTTTAGCTGCCGTGTCACACTGTTGGCTCATGTCAAGTTTGTGGTCAACCAAGACTCCTAGATCCTTTTCACGTGTACTGCTCTCAAGCCAGGTGTCACCCATCTTGTATTTGTGCCTCTCATTTTTTTGCCCAAGTGCAATACTTTACATTTCTCCCTGTTAAAATTCATCTTGTTTGTTTTGGCCCGGTTCTCTAATCTGTCAAGGTCGTTTTGAAGTGTGATCCTGTCCTCTGGGGTGTTAGCCACCCATCCCAATTTGGTGTCATCTGCAAATTTGATCAGGATGCCCTTGAGTCCATCATCCAAGTCGTTGATAAAGATGTTGAATAAGACCAGGCCCAAGACAGAACCCTGTGGCACCCCACTAGTCACTCTTCTCCAGGATGAAGAGGAACCATTGATGAGCACCCTTTGGGTTCGGTCAGTCAGCCAGTTACAAATCCACTGAGTGGTAGCATAGTCAAGACCACATTTTACCAGCTTCTTTACAAGAATATCATGAGGCACCTTGTCAAATGCCTTGCTGAAATCAAGGTAGGCTACATCCACTGCGTTCCCTTCATCTACCAGGCTTGTAATTCTGTCAAAAGCGAGATCAGGTTAGTCTGACATGACTTCTTTTCAGAAATCCATGCTGACTATTGGTGATCACAGCATTCCTTTCTAGGTGCTCACAGACTGTTTGCTTAATGATCTGCTCCAGAATCTTCCCTGGTATTGATGTCAGACTGACTGGGCGGTAATTATTTGGGTCCTCTCTTTTCCCCTTTTTGAAAATAGGGACAACATTTGCCCTCCTCCAGTCTGCCGGGACTTCACCTGTTCTCCGGGAATTCTCAAAGATGACTGCCAGTGGTTCTGAAATCACATCTGCCAGTTCTTTTAATACTCTTGGATGCAGTTCATCTGGCCCTGGAGACTTGAATACATCTAAACTAGCCAAGTATTCTTGTACTATCTCCTTAGTTATTCTGGGCTGTGTTTCCTTTGCTGAATCATTTGCTCCAAATTCTTCAGGTCGGGCATTGTTTTTCTTTATCGGAGAAGACTGAGGCAAAGAAGGCATTGAGGAGTTCAGCTCTTTCTTTTTTTTTTTTATAAGATATTTATTGGTTTTACAAGAAAAAATTCCAAAAAATACAGAATGACAAAAATTCAACAAACAAAAAAAACAACAATAACCATGACAAAAAACAAACAGAAATGACAATATCCATAACAAGAAAAGAAAAAAAGGAAAACAAAGAAAAAGAAACAGAAAAATTTAAAAAATATTTATACTTTCATTTATCCTTCTTATCTTTACCTAGTTCTTTGACTTCCCCGCATCTCCCCGCTTGCACTTCCATTTAAAAACTCCTTTCAGCAAATCCTTACCCTCCTTTCATTATCTTAACTCAAAAAACTTAATCTATTTATATATAAATATTTTTACAACCTTATCCATCAAATATTCCATACTCTTAATCACAAAGCTTTTGCCAATACCAGTTATTTTCAATCAGACTTCAATTTAACATTCATTAATTTTATAGTATTTCTGTAGATAGTCTTTAAATTTCTTCCAATCTTCTTCCACCGACTCTTCTCCCTGGTCACGGATTCTGCCAGTCATCTCCGCCAATTCCATATATTCGATTACCTTCATCTGCCATTCTTCCAGAGTGGGTAAATCTTGTGTCTTCCAATACTTTGCGATGAGTATTCTTGCTGCTGCTGTTGCATACATAAAGAAAGTTCTGTCTTTCTTTAGCACCAATTGGCCAACAATGCCCAAGAGAAAGGCCTCTGGTTTCTTTAGAAAGGTATACTTAAATACCTTTTTTAACTCATTATATATCCTTTCCCAGAAGGCCTTAATCTTTGGGCACGTCCACCAAATGTGAAAGAATGTACCTTCAATTTCCTTACATTTCCAACATTTATTATCGGGCAAATGGTAGATTTTTGCAAGCTTGACTGGAGTCATGTACCACCTGTACACCATTTTCATAATATTCTCTTTTAAAGCATTACATGCTGTAAACTTCATACCTGTGGTCCATAACCGTTCCCAGTCAGCAAACATAATATTATGTCCAATATCCTGTGCCCATTTAATCATAGCAGATTTTACCGTTTCATCCTGAGTATTCCATTTTAGCAGCAAGTTATACATTCTTGAAAGTGTTTTAGTTTTGGAATCTAGCAGTTCTGTTTCCAACTTTGATTTTTCCACCTGGAAGCCAATTTTTCTATCCAAATTATAGACCTCTCTTATTTGGTAATAATGCAACCAGTCTCGCACTCTATCTTTTAATTTTTCAAAACTCTGCAGTTTAAATTTGTCTCCTTCTTGTTCCAAGATCTCCCAATATTTTGGCCATTTGGCCTCCATATTGGACTTTTTTAGGGCCTTTGCCTCCATTGGTGATAGCCACCTTGGGGTTTTATTCTCCAATAAGTCTTTGTATCTTATCCAGACATTAAACAATGCTTTCCTGACAATATGGTTTTTAAACGTTTTGTGAGCTTTAACCTTGTCATACCACAGATATGCATGCCACCCAAACACATTATTGAAACCTTCTAGGTCCAATACATCGGTATTTTCCAGAAGTAGCCAATCCTTCAACCAGCAGAAAGCTGCTGATTCATAATAAAGTTTAAAGTCTGGCAGGGCAAATCCCCCTCTTTCTTTAGCATCAGTCAATATTTTAAATTTTATCCTAGGCCTCTTGCCCTGCCAGACAAACTTAGAAATATCTCTCTGCCACTTCTTAAAACAGTCCATTTTATCTATTATTTGTATCGATTGAAACAAAAACAACATTCTTGGCAATACATTCATCTTGATAACAGCAATTCGCCCTAACAAGGAAAGCTTCAAATTTGTCCATATTTCTAAATCCTTTTAATGTCCGACCAACATTTTTCATAGTTGTCTTTAAATAAATTCCCGTTTTTAGCTGTCATATGAATCCTCAGATATTTCACTTTTTTTACCACTGTTAAACCTGTCTCATTCTGAAACCTCTCTTTTTCAATCAGTGTTAAATTCTTCTCAAGTACTTTAGTTTTAAATTTATTCAACTTAAAACCTGCCACCTGACCAAACTCTTGAATCAGTTCTAATGCTCTTTTCGTACTAGATTCTGGCTCCTGTAATGTCAATACAAGGTCATCTGCAAATGCTTTCAATTTATATTGTTTCGCTCCGACCGTTATGCCCTTAATCAGCTGGTCCCTTCTTATCATATTTAACAGAACCTCCAGGACAGAAATAAAAAGTAATGGGGAAATTGGGCAGCCTTGTCGTGTCCCTTTCTCTATCTTAATTTCCTCTGTTATCACATTATTAACTATTAATTTAGCTTTTTGTTCTGAGTAAATTGCATTTATACCATTTTCAAACTCTTGGCCTACCCCCATCCCCTGAAGATTTTTTTCATAAAACTCCAAGAAATATTGTCAAAGGCTTTCTCTGCATCCACAAAAATCAAAACTGCTTTAGTGTTGATCTCCTCTTGCAGCTTCTCCAGAATGTCAATTATGTTCCTTGTGTTATCCGAAAGATGTCTATCTGGAAGAAAGCCAGCTTGGTCCTTGTGAATCACTCCTTTTAGCACTTTTTTAAGCCTTTTTGCTAAAATGTCAGCAAAAATTTTGTAATCCACATTTAACAGGGATATGGGCGGGTAGTTCTTAAGCTGTGTCTTTTCAGTCTCGACCTTTGGTATAAGTGTGATAAATGCGTCTTTCCACGACTCTGGCGCTCTTTTCCCCTCTAAGATTTCATTACAAACCTCAGTTAAAGGTCGAATTAACCAGTCTTTCAAAGTTCTGTAATATTTTGAGGTTAAACCATCCGGTCCTGGAGATTTTCCCAACTGCATATTCTGAATGGCACCTTCAACCTCCTGTTCTGTAATTTTATAGTTCAACAATATCTTATTGTCCTGAGAAATTTTTTGTAATCCATTGGTTTTCAAAAATTGCTCTATCTCGAATTCTTTCTGAGGCCCTTGTGTGTATAGTCGTTTAAAATATCTTTGGAAGCATTTCCTAATTTCTTCTGGATTCTGGATATTTTTCCCTTCCACTTCCAAATTTGTAATAGTATTAAGTTTTTGTCGTTTCTTCAACTGCCAGGCCAGCAGTTTCCCACATTTATTTGCCGATTCAAAAGTCTTTTGTCTCATTTGCTTAATTTTCCATTCCACTTCTTGATTTATCAATTTCATATATTGCACTTGGTACAATTTTATTTCCCTCAGAATCTCTTGTGAATTGGGCTTCACTCTCAATTTCTTCTCGCCCTCCTTTATTTTTTCCAAAATTTTTTCTTTCTTTACGTTTTGGGCCTTCTTCTTAATTAAATTCTGTTGAATCAGGAAGCCCCTCATAACAGCTTTGCTTGCATCCCAGATTACTCTTTTTTCTACAGTTGTATTCAAGTTTATCTCAAAATAGTCCCTCAATGTCTTTTGGGCCTTCTTAATCACCTCTTGATCTCTAAACAAGGTGTCATTCATCCTCCATCGGAGAGGAGTTCAGCTCTTTCTGTGTCCCCTGTTTGCATTTCACCATCTTCTCCTCTGAGTGACCCCACTGTTTCTTTGTTCTTCCTTTTGCTACGGACATACCCATAAAAGCCTTATTTGTTGCTTTTAACCTCTCTAGCAAGCCTGAGTTCATTCTGTGCTTTAGCTTTTCTGACTTTGTGTCTACACGTGCTGGCTATTTGTTTGAATTCCTCTTGGTGGTTTCCCCTTTTCCATTTTTGTACACATCCTTTTAAATCTTAACTCAGTTAAAAGTTCTTTAGATAGCCACCCTGGCTTCTTTAGGCACCTTCCATGTTTCTGTCTCATTGGTATTGCCTGACGTTGTGCTTTTACTATCTCCCTCTTAACAAACTCCCAGCCATCATGAACTCCCTTTCCTTTTAGTATTACTGTCCATGGGATCTCACCCAGCACTTCCCTAAGTTTTATGAAGTCAGCTTTCTTAAAGTCAAGAAATTGAGTCCTAGTATGCTTGGCTGCTCCTTTCCGCTGTATAGTAAACTTCAGAAGAGCATGATCACTCGCGCCTAATGATCCTTCCACTTCTACCCCACTAACCAGGTCATCAACATTGGTTAGGACCAGATCTAAAATGGCTGTTCCTCTTGTTGCTTCTCCCACTTTCTGGACAATGAAGTTGTCTGCAAGGCCAGTGAGGAATCTGTTTGACCTTATGCTCTTGGCTGAGTTTGACATCCAACAAATTGAAGTTCCCCCGTTACTACTATCTCCCTTCCTTTTGCATGCTTGGCCATCTGTTCCAGGAAGGCATCATCTATGTCCTCCGTTTGGCTTGGGGATCTATAGTAAACTCCCACAATGAGGTTACTGTTATTCTTCTCTCCCTTAATTTTGACCCAAATGCTCTCACTTTGGCTTTGAGGTTCTAAATCTTGGATCTCTTCACAGGTATACACATCCCTGACATATAACGCCACTCCTCCTCCTTTCTTGTCTGGTCTGTTTCTCTGAAATAGATTGTATCCCCCATTATTACATTCCAATCGTGGGACTTATCCCACCAGGTTTCAGTGATGCCTATTATGTCATATTTAGTTTGCTGTACCAAGAGCTCAAGCTCATCTTGTTTATTTCCCATGCTTTGCGCATTAGTGTACAGACATTGAAGTCCATTAATCATTCCCCGTGACTCTTATTTAAGGATTTTTTCCTCCCACCACTAGGTCTGTGTGCTGTTTGCTCCATTTGGTCTATGACATTTGGATGATCATCTTCATCAATTGATAGACTCCTACCTTCAGGAGCACTGTCTTCCTCCCCCACATTAGTCAGTTTAAAGCCCTCCTGATGAGGTTTCTGAGATTTTTGGCAAAAACATTTCTCCCAACCGTTGTGAGGTGCAGCCCATCGCTTGCCAGAAGTCCATCTTCAAGAAACTGCAGTCCATGATCTAAGAATCCAAACCGTTCCTGTTTACACCATTTGCGAAGCCAGCTGTTCACTTCCACTATTTTCCCTCTCTCCCTGGGCCACGCTCGTTCAACTGGGAGGACAGATGAGATGACAATTTGTGCATTTAATTGCTTCAATTTCCTGCCCAGAGCCTCGTAGTCTCTTTTGATCTTCTGGAGGCTATTGCTTGCAGTGTCATTGGTTCCCACATGAACCAAGAGGAAGGGTATTTGTCAGTGGGTTTTATGATTCCTTGCAGTCGTTCAGTTACATCTTGGATCTTAGCCCCGGGAGACAGCACACTTCCCGAGACATCTTGTCAGGCCCACAGATCACTGCTTCTGTTCCCCTCAGTAGGGAATCCCCTATCACCACTACACGCCTCCTCTTAGGTTTGGTCGGGGTTCTTCCGTGAGCTGTCCGCTCCAAGGTCGCCTGCACATTCCCTGAGGACTGACTTTGCTGCTCGTCTTCATATACCTGATCGACTGTAATGAGGGAGAGATCCTCAAATGGAGTCTGCTCTTCGTCTTCCATGCTAGGGGAGAGGACCTCAAAGTGATTGTGTATTTCTAAACAATCAGAGCGAACCCTGGGCCTCCTACTTCTTTGAGTCACGTTTCTCCATATATCTGGCTCCTGTGTTGGTGAACTAGCGTCCTTCTCAGGGGAGTCCCCTGTCTCCTCCTTGGTGGAGACGGTGTGCTCTGTTGCTTCCAAGAAGAGCTCCAGCTCTCTAATTCTTTGGAGCGTAGCTACACGTTCCTCCAGTTGCTGGACTTTGTCTTTTAAGAGGGCAATCAACATGCAATTGCTGCAGGTAAAGCTGCCTGCAACCTTGGCAAGATGGCAAACATTGCGCAGGAACCGCAGGCGACTGCAGCTGTTCCCTCCCCCTCCATCTTGAGAACGTGTTGTTGGGGGTGGCTACAGCGGTCCTCCATCATAAAAAGCGTGAAGACAGGACAAATAACTAACCCCAAAAAAAAACCTATGTCTAACCCAACAAACGATTGACACTAGCTCCCCTAAAACTAAAAGATTGAACAAACTGAGCGCGCCGCTGCCCTGCAAGCTCTGATAAGCAAATCCCACAGCTAATCACCTGCCTCAACAGAAACCCTGCCCCTCTGACCTTTGCACAGGGAGAGCAGCCAATCAGCCACAAAGAAACACACACACACACACACACAAGAAAACCCTTATTGCTCCTTCTACAACTGCTGCACTGCAAGCTCTGATAAGCTCCTCACACAGCAAATCACCTGCCTCAACAGAAACCCTGCCCCCTCTGACCTTTGCACAGGGAGAGCAGCTAATCAGCCACAAAGAAACACACACACACACACACACACACACACGAAAACCCTTTTTGCTCCTTCTTCAACTGCTGCCCTGCAAGCTCTGATAAGCTCCTCCCACAGCTAATCACCTGCCTCAACAGAAACCCTGCCCCCTCTGACCTTTGCACACCGAGAGCACCCAATCAGCCACA